ATATAGACAGATAAATCTATATATAAATCTGAAATCTATATATAGACAGATAAATCTATATATAAATCTGAAATCTATATATAGACAGATAAATCTATATATAAATCTGAAATCTATATATAGACAGATAAATCTATATATAAATCTGAAATCTATATATATATAGATTTTCTGAAATCTGAAATCTATATATAAATCTGAAATCTATATATAGACAGATAAATCTATATATAAATCTGAAATCTATATATAGACAGATAAATCTATATATAAATCTGAAATCTATATATAGACAGATAAATCTATATATAAATCTGAAATCTATATATAGACAGATAAATCTATATATAAATCTGAAATCTATATATAGACAGATAAATCTATATATAAATCTGAAATCTATATATATATAGATTTTCTGAAATCTGAAATCTATATATAAATCTGAAATCTATATATAGACAGATAAATCTATATATAAATCTGAAATCTATATATAGACAGATAAATCTATATATAAATCTGAAATCTATATATAGACAGATAAATCTATATATAAATCTGAAATCTATATATAGACAGATAAATCTATATATAAATCTGAAATCTATATATAGACAGATAAATCTATATATAAATCTGAAATCTATATATATATAGATTTTCTGAAATCTGAAATCTATATATAAATCTGAAATCTATATATAGACAGATAAATCTATATATAAATCTGAAATCTATATATAGACAGATAAATCTATATATAAATCTGAAATCTATATATAGACAGATAAATCTATATATAAATCTGAAATCTATATATAGACAGATAAATCTATATATAAATCTGAAATCTATATATAGACAGATAAATCTATATATAAATCTGAAATCTATATATATATAGATTTTCTGAAATCTGAAATCTATATATAAATCTGAAATCTATATATAGACAGATAAATCTATATATAAATCTGAAATCTATATATAGACAGATAAATCTATATATAAATCTGAAATCTATATATAGACAGATAAATCTATATATAAATCTGAAATCTATATATAGACAGATAAATCTATATATAAATCTGAAATCTATATATAGACAGATAAATCTATATATAAATCTGAAATCTATATATATATAGATTTTCTGAAATCTGAAATCTATATATAAATCTGAAATCTATATATAGACAGATAAATCTATATATAAATCTGAAATCTATATATAGACAGATAAATCTATATATAAATCTGAAATCTATATATAGACAGATAAATCTATATATAAATCTGAAATCTATATATAGACAGATAAATCTATATATAAATCTGAAATCTATATATAGACAGATAAATCTATATATAAATCTGAAATCTATATATATATAGATTTTCTGAAATCTGAAATCTATATATAAATCTGAAATCTATATATAGACAGATAAATCTATATATAAATCTGAAATCTATATATAGACAGATAAATCTATATATAAATCTGAAATCTATATATAGACAGATAAATCTATATATAAATCTGAAATCTATATATAGACAGATAAATCTATATATAAATCTGAAATCTATATATAGACAGATAAATCTATATATAAATCTGAAATCTATATATATATAGATTTTCTGAAATCTGAAATCTATATATAAATCTGAAATCTATATATAGACAGATAAATCTATATATAAATCTGAAATCTATATATAGACAGATAAATCTATATATAAATCTGAAATCTATATATAGACAGATAAATCTATATATAAATCTGAAATCTATATATAGACAGATAAATCTATATATAAATCTGAAATCTATATATAGACAGATAAATCTATATATAAATCTGAAATCTATATATATATAGATTTTCTGAAATCTGAAATCTATATATAAATCTGAAATCTATATATAGACAGATAAATCTATATATAAATCTGAAATCTATATATAGACAGATAAATCTATATATAAATCTGAAATCTATATATAGACAGATAAATCTATATATAAATCTGAAATCTATATATAGACAGATAAATCTATATATAAATCTGAAATCTATATATAGACAGATAAATCTATATATAAATCTGAAATCTATATATATATAGATTTTCTGAAATCTGAAATCTATATATAAATCTGAAATCTATATATAGACAGATAAATCTATATATAAATCTGAAATCTATATATAGACAGATAAATCTATATATAAATCTGAAATCTATATATAGACAGATAAATCTATATATAAATCTGAAATCTATATATAGACAGATAAATCTATATATAAATCTGAAATCTATATATAGACAGATAAATCTATATATAAATCTGAAATCTATATATATATAGATTTTCTGAAATCTGAAATCTATATATAAATCTGAAATCTATATATAGACAGATAAATCTATATATAAATCTGAAATCTATATATAGACAGATAAATCTATATATAAATCTGAAATCTATATATAGACAGATAAATCTATATATAAATCTGAAATCTATATATAGACAGATAAATCTCCGGTTCATGCCGACACCAGCCCAGCTCGCTGCTAGCTGACCTATCCTTCTCACCCGATGCCTTGTGCCAATGCCAAACCAACCTATCGTCGGCCTCTCTTTGTCGAAATTTCGCCTGTAGCCTCGACTGCACAGCGCCAACCACACGTCGCCCACTCAACGCGTTGTGTGGCCCTGCTTAACGCCGTTCAGCTCGTCTCCCTCTCGGCCCAGCAATTCTTTTCAGAAATCAGACCACACAGCTCAGTTTTGCTTGCACAGTGCTTACTCTGCCCATTTCTTTTATTTTTTCTACACTGATTTAGATCTATAAACTGTTTTTTGCCGAAACCCTCTTCTCCTTCTTATATTTTTGGATCTGTGGGTAAGCTCTAGCCACTTTCCCTTTTTGTTTTGATGGACTTTTATGCTCATGAGTTTGGATTTGTGTATTTGGAATTTTACAATCTTGCCTATGTACTCACAGCACTGTTTTGTTTGATTTGGGAATGATAAAACATTGTCATACTCTGTTGTTTATTTGCTTAGATTCAAAAGAAATGAACCTTTAACAGTCGAACTTGTGAGCTTGTCGTTACACACTTTGTAGAGCAAAAATCGAAGTTGATAATCTTGTACAAATTGAATCACTAATATTGAATGTTGTTTGCATTTTCATGAACTTGCTCGGAGGAGTATAATTATTGTAACATAAGTTGCTCATTACTATTGTTGATGTTGCCCCATTCTGATAATGCTTGAATCTGGATATGAAATTGATATTGCACATCTCATTTGTCGGCTTTATTATTTCAGGCAAATAAATTTTTGTGCGAAATCCACGAACCCAGGGCCCTCAGAATCTGCACTAATGAGACCAAGGGCTGTCGTTCGAAAGTCTGAGCGAGAGCAAAACTGTCCCTCAAGAGTTCGAAAGTAGCATACACATTACTTCGGCAAGAAAGATCCTTCTGGAAGGCAACTGAGTCTACCAAGCTTGCACCAATAGAAGTAAAGATTGTCTCTCAAAAGTCCGAGCAGAAGCAAGACTGTCCCTCAGAAGTTCGAGCGGAAACAAGGCTCTCCCTCAGAAGTCCGAGTGGAAACAAGGCTGTCCTCGGAAGTCCGAGTGCATGCACACTTCTACTTCGGCAGCTAATGGAAGCAAATGCTATCCCTCGGGAGTTCGAGTAGGAGTCCACTCTGCTTTGAAAAGAAAGATCCTCGGAGCTCGTATTGATGAAAGTAAGGGCTGTTCTTCGAACCCGCACTAATGAGAGCAAGAGTTTTCCCTTGGCAGTTCAAATGGAAACAAGGTTGTCCCTCAGGAGTTTGAATAGTAGCACACACCCTACTTTGGCAAGAAGATCCCTTCTGATAGGCCATTGAGTCTCGAGGACTGTTTTTCGAAAGTCTGAGTGGAAGAACACACTCAACTTCAGCAAGAAAGATCCTTGAGGCTCGCACTGATAGAAGCGAGGTTTGTTCTTCGAAAGTTTGAGTGGGAGCACACACTCTACTTCAACAAGAAAGATCCTCGAAGCTCGCATTGATGGAAACGAGATTTGCTTTTCGAAAGTCTGAGTGGGAGCACACACCCTACTTCAACAAGAGAGATCCTTGAAGCTCGCACTGATGGAAACGAGATTTGCTCTTCGAAAGTCTGAGTGGGAGCACACACTCTACCTCAACAAGAGAGATCCTCGAAGCTCGCATTGATGGAAGCAATGGCTATTCTTCAGAAGTCCGAGTGGGAACACACACTCTGCTTCAACAAGAAATAACCTCGAAGCTTACATTGACGGAAGTAAGGGCTATTCTTCGGAAGTCCGAGTGGGAGCACACACTCTACTTTAGCAAGAAAGACCCTCGAAGCTTGCATTGATGAAAGCAATGGCTATTCTTCAGAAGTCCGAGTGGGAACACACACTCTGCTTCAATAAGAAAGAACCTCGAAGCTTGTATTGACGGAGGCAAGGGCTATTCTTCGGAAGTCCGAGTGGGAGCACACACTCTACTTTAGCAAGAAAGACCCTCAAAGCTTGCATTGATGGAAACAATGGCTGCTCTTCGGAGGTCTGAGTGGGAGCACACTTCTACTGCGTCAAGAAAGATCCCTTCAGGTTGGTAACCGAGTTTACTATTTCTCTTTCTTCTTCGAGAGGTAACAAAAATTATATACTGTTTCAAGCAACATAACACAATGAAGATATACAATACAGAGAAAATAACTTCTAATGGAGATACACAATATGGAGGAAATGACTTTCTTCATAACATAAGAAAGAAAGATAGAAAATTCTTGGACAATGCAGGAAATACGAATTGTAAATGTCATAGATAGACTTCTTCTACGGAATGTTGACATTTGCCCCTAGAATTGCGAGGTCATTTGGAAAGCTTTCACCAGCTGCTCGGGTTGTGGCTGTCATATAGCCATGTCTTCTAAGATATCCTAGGGCCCTTGTTCTTTGAACTCTAGCTCATCTGCTTCAAATTTCTTTCTAGAGATCTTCTTAAGTGTTCGACACTTTTCTGTAGCATGTCCTAGTGATCGGTGGAAAACACAATAATTAAGACCCTCGCGGTCCTTCTTCGACAAAAGCTCTTTGATACGAGGTAACTTCAGTTTTCCGTCTGCCACTTTTTCTTCAACTAAGGCCTTCACCTTCTCAACACTACATGGAAAAGAAGTATCATCTTCGCAGTTTTTCCTCTTCTGACCTTTGAATTCCTCCCCTTGCGACTTTCGTGTAGAAGACGCAGAAGCTGCAGTGACAGAAGGTCTTCGGGATGACTTGAAGCTAGTTTTATAATTAGTCTCGAACCCGAACTCCTGAGATTGAGGTACGTTGATGTTTCGAGATGCTTCAATTAGTGCCAAGAAGGTGGGCAGCTTGTGATTAACAAGAAGCATCTTGTTCCCGTTCAATGCCCCTTCAACATAGATTTGGACCAAGTAGCTTTCTTCCACAGTCTCATGACAGTCCACGGCTTTGTCTTGGAACCTTTTCACATATTCGAGAACATCTTCACCCTCCCGTTGTTTTTCCTTACATACGGTGAGTGCAGTTACCTTCTCAGCCGCTTGAAAGAATTTGGCGTGGAATTTGTTGACCATCTCCTCCCAACTTCGAACGGAGTTTGGGGTCAAGTTAACATACCAACTATATGCTCGGTCGGTGAGGGACTTGGAGAATTCTCTCAGTCGGAGGACATGATTTGAACCATGAATCCCTAAAGTCTCGATGAACCGAACAACATGTTCTCGAGCATTTCCTTGTTTGCCATCAAATTTGATAAACTTTGGCACTATGTACCCCTCCGGGTATGGATAACTTAACATCTTGATAGGGTATGGTGGCTTGACATCTGGATCAGGCAAAGAGGGTAAAGTTTTCTTGCTCCGTTCTAGCTCGAGCACGGCTTGCACATCTGCAAGGGTGAGAAATTATTGAGGGGGAGAACTTGATGGTGGTATTTCCAGAACTTGGCTTGTAGACCCCAAGACTGAACTAGGAGCAACTTGGCCACTCTGGTGTTGAGAATTCATCATCAGTGAAGACACATGACGATATTGGCCATTGGTACCTATGGACATGCCAATTGGTGATAGGACGTTGCATTGGGCCCTATAAAGTTCATTGCACGCCATGGCTATACTGGGTTGGACTTGCAAACTTGGCGTCGGAGCCAAAGGAAACCCACTCGGTACATGAGTATTTACAATCGGTGGAACAAAATTAGGCATGGATGGAACACCATTTTGTAGAGGAATTTCTATAGGCCTTCCTTGAACTTCCACAGCCGCTGGAACACCATTCATCGCGCCAGAAACTCCTCCAACCACCGTTGGACCATGGCTCGATCCTCTAGGTGCGTGATTTTGCGCTCCATGGGCCGCAGGTTGGTCATGACTTGTTTCTCCTAGCACTTGATTTTGCACGCCATTTTGTACAACTTCAGGGAGGATTTGGAGTGGATCTTGATGGTTTTGATTATTCCCAACATTGCCATGAAGTTGTCGATGCTTGTTGGTGCTGATTTGACCTCCATTTGTTGCTGGTGGTGCGAAATTTGAACCCATCACCAACATGGTGTGAGTGAGATTTTGAAGGGTCGTGAGAATCTCTTGTTGAGTGTGTTGGAGTCCTTGAATGGCTTCAAGGATGAGAGGTGCGTCTTGAACTTGAGTCCTTTCATTATCACCATTGGAAGAGCCTTGTTGATGAGTCTCATTATCTGCCATTTTTGCCGGTGTTGTATGAGTTCCAGATCTCATTGAGACCATTAACCAATCCGCCTCCCCAGTGAAGTCGCCAAATGTATGAGAGGGTTTAAGAACGCCATTGAAAAATTCGAAGATCTTCGAAGATCCTTGAAGAAAAATTTGAATTCCCTAGAAGATGATGAGAGGCTTAAATTCTTTAATAGTCTCAACTAAGAACACAAAAGAAAGGAGATGATGGAGATAAGAGATTAGGTGAAGAAGAAGGCAAAGTAGCTAGAGAGAGAATAATGGCAAGGCTCTCCCATGGATCTCCCACTTTCACTCTCAAAGTTGATAATGGAGAAAGGAAATTAGTTCTTTCCCAAGAGTTATTTCTCCAAAATCCATCCCTTGTAAAGCTATGGGTGGGTACTATTTATAGGCACCTCATAATGTAGGATGGAGCCCATGTGCAAGGCACATGGAGAATATTCTCTCTAACCACCTTGTCCGAGGAGGTGACCTCTCCAAGGATGAAGAAAACCCTCGAAGAGGAGATCAACGTCTCGGCGAACCCTTCTTCTTAGCCACACCTACCCAACGATCTCCAATCATCCCAAAAGGGTCATGGGTAGTCCCAGAGGACGTCCTGCTGCATAAGGGTCAGGGGTAGTTCAAGAGAACGCCCTGTCGCAAATATTGCCGAGTCTCAGGGACCCCCTAGATCGTGCCACCTCGACCCGGGTATATGCTAATTTAATCGAAGAGTGAATTTATCTCCACTCACCGTCCTCGGGATCGGGTCCTTTGTTCGAACTCCATTACGCCCATGGTTCTGGTGTGTAGATCCCGGAAAGCTTCGAGCCCGCAAGTGTTCTGGGGCTCATTAACGGAGCGACTTCTAGATTGTGTCTGAATCCGTTCAAAGCCAATGCTTCGGACCTCTAGGTTCGTGAATCTGAACCCTTTCGAGTCTGAGTGTCTCGGATCTCTAGGCTTGCTCAATACCCTTTCGAGTCCGGGCCCGAGTAAGTCTCTAAGTTTATGGATCCGAACCCTTTCGAGGTTTAGAGCAATTTAGCCTGTTTGATGGCGATAAATCCGGGCCCACCAATCTTGGACTTGTGATAAATTCGAGCCCATCAACCTTGGACTATTGCGCCTAATTAATTTAGTGGGCTCAAATTAGCTCTTCTTACCCTTGGGATCATCGATATCTTGCTGCCAGGTTTGATATACGATCGGAATTCAAGGAAATAATTAAAAAATGTGATTTGTGGGAGCCTTTGGATATCGAGAAACTTTCACACGCAAATGTTTGGTGACAAGAGGAAAGGGACGTGTTTGGTATTTATAGCAAGTAGGGGATTATTCCAGTACTTTCGCGGCTTACCAACGCTCGCTAACGAGCTTTTTTTTTTTTTTTTGGGAGTAAATTCTGACGAACTTTCTGGTATGTGCGAGAAATCTCTAGACTAACATCCCAAATCCCAACAGGAATATCCACGAAGAAGCTAGCATGGCCCAATACATGTAGTGAGCTTACCCTTCCTGATTAATCCAAAATTACGTCGATGTCCATATACAAAAGCACAAACAAACTTGAGAAAATTATACATATATATATATATATATATATCTATTTTTAAAATTTATTTTTTAGATCAAATAATATATAAAAGAAATGATTGATTAATAATTAAAGATGATATAAAAAAGAATTACCTTACATATTCGATAATTGAAATCAATTGCGCTACTTTAACTAAATTATTAAATCATATTAACGAAAAATTGATTTACTCATTGATGCAAAAAATTAGTAGTATTTAGAAATGAGAAATAATAAGGTGACAAATAAAACTGCCCAATCAACTTTGTTCGTACTCTTTTTTCTCCTTTCAAAATTATTTGTTACTTTATTAAAACTGCAGTTGGGATTGATGAAATGATGACATGTAGCAAAATTCTTTAAGCACGAATAAAAACTCATGAAAAGTGTATTAATGATTTATTTTGAATGTAAACCTTGTCATAATTGAATTTAATGTCAACTATTTATTACATTTCAATAATAATATATTTATCACTTTTTTATACTAGTCATCTTATGTGTTAATCAATTATTGGTATAATGAGTCTCATCACTTATATTTATGTTAAATGATGTGTCGAAATATGATGTTGTATATTGAATGTGGTATAAAAAAGTGGGAAGTGTAGTATTATTCATTTCATTTACTGTAAATTATTCTGTGACTCATTTAGGGGTTATTTGGGATGAACTATATAAGTGCATTTTTTGACTTTTTGGATAAAAAAGTATAGGAAAAAAAGATGGTGGTTTGAAATAATTTTTTAACTTTTTACGAAAAAAATGTGTATTAAAATATTATACAAAATAGCAAAATTACAAAATTACCCTCCCTGACACAATCAACAATATTGCGTTGACTTTCTATCTCTTTTCATTTTTTTATTTTATTTATCTATTTATTTATTTTTTATGGGACTGTGTGGCTTCAAGTGTGCCACATATTTTTTTAAAATTTTTTTTTATGGGAAGTTATGACTGCATAGTTTTGTGGCAGCACTGGTTTTATTTTTGTTTTTGTTTTTTTTTTTTCATTTGACAGATTTCCTGCCAAAATAAAGGTAAATAATATGAACTTTTTTTTACTTTTTTTTAGTGACTTTTTGACTTTTTGACTTTTTGACTTTTATAGGTGATGCAAACTAGCCCTTAATATAATAGTATTGCTCCTTTGCCTCTCAAAGTCTTCTTTTTCTCGTGCAAGTAGTAGATAAAGTCTGAGACTATTAAAATCCAAAGACAATCACAAAATACCAACTACTTACTGAATGTAAGATAATGAAATGGTCATTTTGACAATCACAAAGACAAAATAAATTCTACCAAGTCATTCAAGGAATTGTAGGAAGAACCACCTTCATTAACACTGACATTAACCTTTTTCTTCAAATCAGTAGCTCTCTACCTCATCTCCTCCCCTTCTTCCCTTCTCATAAGCCTTCTCACCACTCTTTTTATCTCCCCTCTCTCCAATCCATCCCCTTACTAATTCTAGAGCCACCTTCCACACACTATTAACATACCTTACATTCACTTTCTGGTCTCCAAAACACAGCGAACATATCATCGGATTCCCCTCCGAAACACTTTCCAAGACCGAGTTCCACCCACAGTAGCTCCAAAATTTGCCAACTCTGCTATGAGCCAGTACTTCCTTCTGAGGAGCTCTCTTCACAATGCACCCTCTTCCACCAACCACATTATCAAAACCCTGTGGCAATAGCTAAATCCAATCAGATTCAGACCCATGAACTGAACCAGGTCGAATCACCCACAAGAATGGCTACCCACTATTAGCTAGCCCCCAAGCCATTTCGGCTAGCTCTGTCTCATTCATAGAAGCTAAGCTTCCTAAGCTTATGTATAGAACAGAGTTTGGGGCTTGCTTGTCAAGCCACCAAATGCAGTCAATATTTTTCTCAAGTAAGGAAGTGCTCCAGAGTGAGGAGATTTTGAACAGAGGGCCGGTCGGGAAGAATGGGATTTGATGGTGGTGTTGGAGTTCGGACAATGCTGGGTTTTCGAGGGAGTCCAAGGTGTTCCAGATGATAGCAGAGGATATTTTTTGCAGAGGATGGACAGTTCTACATTGTTGGATTTGGAGATGGGTAAGTCTTTGGACCTCAGGGGATGCAGTCCTGGGGCTAGGTCCTGCAATTTAGAATCTGGCTATATGGGGTTTATGGTTAAAATTTTTGTCACTTTCGTAATCTTAATTTTTTGCAATATATAAATATCATGTTTGTTTGACTGTTTGGGGAGGTGGATTGAACTAATAGTGTGGGACTCACCTAAAGAGTGTTTGGTTGGGGACATGAATAAGGGGATTAACTATCCCTTTGGACTAGTAATCCCCCCATTGGTAGGACTATCAATCCCGTGGGGGTTTGGGATTAGAAATTGAGTGAGGTGATTAGTGAATTTTTGAATTATTTTTAAGCAAAATTTGTATTTTTTAGAACAAAAAATAATAATAATTATAATATTAAAAAAATAATAAAAATTAAAAAAATATAAATTTTATATATTAATACTATTTATAATATTACTAATCCGATGGTATACAAACAAACTCTTTATACTACATCTCCACCTAATACCACCACACTAATAATCTACTCACTCAATCTCACTGTACTCTTAGTCCTTTCCATCCTATAGTGCCAAACAAACGTGGCCAAAGGGTATATGACTACTGTAAGAGGAGCTAATTTAAGCCCACTAAATTATTTAGGCCCAATAGCCCAAGATTAGTGGGCCCGAATTTATCGCAAGTCCAAGATTGGTGGGTTTGGATTTATCGCCGCCAAACGGGCTGAATGGCTCTAAGCCTCGAAAGGGTTCGGATCCACGAACCTAGAGACTTACTCAAGCCCGGACTCGAAAGGGTATTAAGCAAGCCTAGAGATCCGAGGCACTCGGACTCGAAAGGGTTCGGATCCACGAACCTAGAGACTTACTCAGGCCTGGACTCGAAAGGGTATTAAGCAAGCCTAGAGATCCGAGGCACTCGGACTCGAAAGGATTCGGATCCACGAATCTAGAGATTCGAAGCACCTGGCTTCAAACGGATTCAAACGCAATCTAGAAGTCGCTCCGTTAATGAGTTCCAGAACACTTGCGGGCTCGGAGCTTTCCGGGATCTACGCACCAGAACCATGGGCGTAATGGAGTTCGAACAAAGGACCCGATCCCGAGGACGGTGAGTGGAGATAAATTCACTCTTCGGTTAAACTAGCCTATACCTGGGTCGAGGTGGCACGATCTAGGGGGTCCCTGAGACTCGGCAATATTTGCGGCAGGGCGTTCTCTTGAACTACCCCTGACCCTTATACGGCAGGACGTCCTCTGGGACTACCCCTGATCCTTTGGGATGATTGGGGATCATTGGTTAGGTGTGGCTAAGAAGAAGGGTTCGCCGAGAGGTTAATCTCCTCTTCGGGGTTTTCTCATCCTCGGAGAAGTCACCTCCTCGGAGAGGTCACCTCCTCGGACAAGGTGGTTAGAGAGAATATCCCCCATGTGCCTTGCACACGGGCTCCATCCTACATCATGAGGTGCCTATAAATAGCACCCACCCATAGCTTTACAAGGGATGAATTTTTGGAGAGATGACTCTTGGGAAAGAACTAATTTCCCATCTCCATTATCAACCTTGAGAGTGAAAGTGGGAGATCCATGAGAGAGCCTTGCCATTATTCTTTCTCTAGCCACTTTGCCTTCTTCTTCACCCAATCTCTTATCTCTATCATCTCCTTTCTTTTGTGTTTCTTGAGTTGAGACCATTGAAGAATCTAAGCCTCTCATCATCTTCTAGAGAATTCGAAATTGTTCTTCAAGGATCTTCGAAGATCTTTGAATTTTTCAACTCTTTTCTTGAACCCTCTCCTACAACTACCATATAGGGTATAGAATTCCCCTTATCAAAAACTATTTTCATCCAGTGGGTTCAGTGCTTACCAAATTCCACTTGTTCAATGTTCTTAGCTTTTCTTTGCCAAGAGCGAAGCTAGGCAAACAACCTAAACACTTCCACGCAAAGAGGTTTTCTTTGGTAGCCCATGCCACCACACATTCACTATTAGAAAAGTAATTTTACCTTTGGAGGAATTCCCAGTGAATTTTTTTCAAATTTTTATCAGTATCTTCCAGTTTCACCAGAAAGCTTGAGGCAGGCAAGGTACGTGAACTAAAGAGTTTGAACAACATTCATTCAATCAGATCATGGGGTAGATATCCAGCATCCTTCATCTGATCTGCTAGTCTGTCAAGTAAATCACATATTTCTTCTATCTCCCAATGAAACTTGTCTTCGGCGACGAATTGATGTCTTGAATTCCTTCTCTCAACCCAACTATATGCTACGTCTTTCATCAAACCCTCTCTCCCCATTTGTGCCCTCACTTGTCGAGCATTATCCCATTAGCTAGCAACATCATAGATGGTGGATAACATGATATGTCTTGTAGCATTTTGAGGTTCCAACTCAAACAAAGCTGCACTTGCCCTACAAGCAAGTTCCAAATTGCCATGGATCCGACAAACGCCCAAAAGTGCACCTCACATCCCAACACAATTTGGCCTAGTTTGGAAAGACTAAATAAGTGCACTTTTTGACTTTTTTTGTATTATGTGTAGAAAAAATAGAGAGGAGATGTTGATTGATGTGACCCAAAAAAGATAAAAAGATGAAATAAGTGCACTTTTTTCTTTGTAGCCAAACTTGGCCGTAATTCATTGTAATTAGGAGTTCTGTCAATCAACACAATTGCTTTCTTGAGCCTGTTTTTCCTTCCGAGTAAATCAATCACGATTGTATTAGTGATCTGATCTTGGTGTTACATCGCAATCCTTTACCACTGAGTCCAAAATTTGGAGTCCTTCGTGTAACAGACTTGCGTGACTACAAACAGACAACTCCCCAAGAAACGTGGCATGATTGGGTTTTATGCCTGCTTCTGTCATCCTTTTAAATACATTAAGCGATTCATCCCCATTCCCATTTTGAGCAAATCCAGTTATTAGTGAGTTCCAAGAAACAATCTCTCTTTCAGGCATCCCCTCGAATAATGTCCTAGTAGATTTCATGTCTCCACACTTGCAGTACATGTCAATCAAAGCATTGAACAAAAACACATTAAACTCCTCACCATTAATAATCCTAATAATGTGTCCATGAGGTTGTTTCCCCCTATCAAGAAGTGCAAGATTGGCGCAAGCACTTAGAACACCAACATAAGTGAAAGCATTGGGTAGGAAGATGCCCTCTTCTTGCATATGCACAAAAAGATCCAGAGCTTCATCACCGCACCCATTTTGTGCAAACCCCGAAATTAAAGCACTCCAAGAAACTGTGTTTTTGGTAGGCATTTGATTAAAAACCTGATATGCATCTTCCAATCTAGATGCCCGGGCATAAGCAATAACCATGGAAGTCCACGACAGAACATCCCTTTCTCCCATCTGATTAAAAATTAAAAATGCGTTAGGAGAATCGTGACATTTCCCGTAAGCATCAATCAAAGCATTATAAATTGCAATATTAAACTTCATTCCAATCGCAACAGCCACTCCATGAACTTGGCGCAACAATTCTAGTGCACCAAAGCAAACACAACTACCCACTACGCTACCGAACGTAAATTCATCCATAAACACAAAATTATACTGTTTTTGCATTCTTCTAAAGACACTCATTGATTCCCTGTAAAACCCATGATTGCGAAGACTGGAAATCAGGCAATATAGCTAACAAGGTTTGGTTCAGGAATTTTATCAAACAGGTTGTGAGCGCTGACAAAACGACGCATTTGAGATTGGGCTGAGATCATGGCGTTCCATGAGTGAGTGTACTTGATTGGAAGATCATCTAAGGCTTTCTGGGCACAGGCTATGGAGTTGCATTTGGAGAACATGTGTATGAGATGGTTGGTGAGGAAAATGTTGAAGGAGAGCGCGGTTTTGATCAGGTGTGAGTGCAGGAGTCTCCCTAGCTTGAGGTTTTGGGTTCTGATGGAGTCGGAAATGAAAGACGCATAGTGATGGGTGGGATCAACGCTTGAGATGGTTTCACTGCAAGGCATGATCGACGGTTGAGGTATGTGTTTCGTTTTTATGGACTATGGACTGTGGGACAATGGCATGAGGTGTTTGGTTAGGATTGTGGAGTAGAAAATATCTTTTTTCTGATGTTTGTTTTCTTACCAGTTATCATTCATTTTGTTCTTATCCAATTCGTGGCTGTGTTTTAAGATCAGTGTTATGGTCACTAGTAGTATATTCCAGAATTATATGAGATTGTTGGAAGAATTAAATTAAGATTATTAGAATTTTCACCTTCTTTTTAATAGTATATATAATCTGAATTTATATTTTTATCTTATCTTATTTTTAATAAAAAGTATAATTTTAAAACTTCTTTAACCAAAATAAAAAAAAAAATATATATATACATATATATATATATTTATAACTTTTTCAATCTAATTCAACATCCCATTCATGAAATCCTCTCATTAAATTTACTTAAAATCTTAATTTTAGCCTCTGTTTGGACAGTGGGTTGACTTTTTAATTTTTTTAGCTATTTTAACCTAAGTTAAAAAGTTTAGTTTGGGAAGGACTTTTGGACTTTTTGATTTTTTTGATTTTTTTTATAAGATAATAGTGTAATGATTATAAATTAGATGTGATGTTTTGTTTGTTGTGACTAAAATAACTTATTTTATCTTTTGTGACTAAAATAGCCAAAAAAAACTCTTGCCAAACAGAGCCTAATAATTTTGATTTCGACCAATATTCCATGTATCAATTAAATTATTTAAAGAAGAAATTTATAATACCTAACTTGCTTATTAAAAAATAAATTATAATTACTTTTTTTTTTCACCAAAGTAAAATTATAAATATATTTTTTTCCTTTCTTATCACACAATTCAAAAGCTTAGTCTAATTCCAATTTTTTTTAAAAACTAAATTTAAAATTATATATTTTATCAAATAATTAGTCTGATTCTAAAACCATGTCCACTGCGAATAAATAAATAAATAAATAAAAAAAAAAAAAAACAGAGCCGAGTAGTGTTATGCAACATGAATAATAGCATCATTTTTGAATGAAAATTATCATTCCAGACAACTCAAGTTATTCAACAAGAACACTCAAAATTATCACTGAATCGTTGGTAAACATAGCAACTACATTACGAAGCAAGGTTTAGACACACTGAACCACAAAACACTACACAGACTGATGCACACACAAACCCATATTAAGAACAATGCAACATTCACAATACAGTCTATAGATAGGCTCTAAATTCTAGCCGGAGATATCAATAGACTTGATTTCAGGCTTCTTGACTTCCTCCTTCGGAATCGTAACAGTCAGGACTCCGTTCTCCATGGAAGCTTTCACTTGATCCATCTTCGCGTTTTCCGGCAGCCTAAACCTCCTCATGAACTTCCCGCTGCTTCGCTCAACCCTGTGCCAAGTATCGCTCTTCTCCTCCTTCTCCACCTTTCTCTGTCCGCTAATCTGCAGAACTCTGTCGTCCTCGATCTCCACCTTCACTTCCTCCTTCTTCAGCCCCGGTAGATCGGCCTTGATCAAGTGAGCTTCCGGTGTTTCCTTCCAATCCACGTGGGCTTTGGCGATTGCGGAATTTTCCTGCGAAAATTCCGAGAATGGAAAGTTTCTGAAGGGGTCGAGAGAGAAGGGATCGAAGATGCTGCTGCCTTGTCGGTTGCCGAAGAAGCTTGGGATCATCGACATCTTACTTGCTGCGAGGTTTGATATGCGATCGGAATTCAAGGAAAGAATTAAGGGATGTGATCTGTGGGAGCCTTAAGAACTCTGTTTGGATATCGAGAAATTTTTACACGGAAATGTTCTGTGACGAGAGGGAACGTGTTTGGTATTTATAGCAAGTAGGGGATTGTCCCAGTACTTTCGCGACTAACCGACGGCGACGCTAGCTAACGAACTTTTTTTTTTGCTGTTGCCTTGTCGGTTGCCGAAGAAGCTTGGGATCATCGACATCTTACTTGCTGCGAGGTTTGATATGCGATCGGAATTCAAGGAAAGAATTAAGGGATGTGATCTACTTGTTAGTTAAAATGCCTAGTGTGATTCACTTTTTTCAATTCCAAAGCACTAGGCATATGATTATGCATTTTGGCTCAACTCATATTCACTAGCTACATGTAGCTAGCCTTCAACGCTAGGCAAAATGTATTCAATCATTAGGATCATTTCCCTCCATCTTTGTTGTTGACATGGCATTCTATAAAATTAATAGTATTTGGATAAATAGCTAAAATAAAGAGCATGGCTGGAGTAAAAACATAAAACAGTTGATAGGCAAAATAAAATATATACTTTATAGTAATATTTAGATAGGTAAAATGCCTACTACCGTTGGAGATGCTCTTAAGAACTCTGTTTGGATATCGAGAAATTTTTACACGGAAATGTTCAGTGACGAGAGGGAACGTGTTTGGTATTTATAGCAAGTAGGGGATTGTCCCAGTACTTTCGCGACTAACCGACGGCGACGCTAGCTAACGAACTTTTTTTTTTTGTTTTTTTTTTTGAGTAAATGCTGACGAACTTTCTGATACGTGCGAGAAATCTCTAGACTAATATCCCAAAGTGCAATGTTAGGTGGCCTTTTGGAAGTAGGCTCAAATTGCTTGAATTTCACTTTGTCGTTCGTCTAAGGAGGTTGACAATCGTAGTCGATAATGGTGACAACTGCGATAGACAAGCTTTCATCTAGTTATTCGGTCGAATGTTCGGCCGGTCATTCGGGCGGATGACTGGACCGGGCGAATGACCGGCCAACACCCATTCAGGCCATTTGAGCCGCTCTTTTTTGGGCCACCAAACATTTCGCTATCCAAAATCCCAACTGAAATATCCACAAAGAAGCTAGCATGGCCCAATACATGTAGGCTATATTTGTTTGGGCGGACTGAATTAGGTTGGATTAGCAATTCCTTGATTAATAGTTTTAAGATTACGAATCTCTTTGGATTATATATCCTATCTTATGTTTTGATTGAGTTAAAATTATAAAGAGGGACTAATAGTCTAGACTTTGGTTTTATTCTCCAATTTATATCCCACCCCCCTCTGTGAGATTGAATAGTTCATCATATATGAGATACCGTATCCAGATAGATTGTTAATCCGTAATTCAATTGTTTAACCAAACATTAGATTAATAATTTTATTAGACTATTAATCAAATCTCAACCTCATGTCTATCTAAACAAACATGGCCGTAGTGGGCCTACCCATCCTCATTACTCCAAAGTTATGTCCATATCCATATACAAAAACACAAACAAACCTGAGGTGAAATGTAAATATCTTTAGAAAAATTATATATGAGTCTATTTTTCAAATCAAATAATATATAAAAGAGATGATTGATTGATAATTAGAGATAATATAAAAAAATAATTAATTGAAATCAATTACACTAATATAACTAAATTATTAATCATATTAACGAAAAATTGATTTACTCATTGATGCAATAAATTAGTAGTATTTAAAAATGAGAAATCATTTCATCACCACTAATTGCACCTCTAATAAGGTGACGAATAATACTATTCAATCAACTTTGTTTAGACTCTTCTTTCTCTTTTCAAAATTGTTTACTACTTTACTAAGGGTGCAGTTGGGAGTGATGAAATGATGATATGTAGCAAAACTCTTTAAAAACAAATAAAAATTCATGAAAAGTGTATTAATGATTTATTTTGAATATAAACCTCGTCATAATTGAATTTAATGCCAACTATCTATTACATTTCAATAACAATACATTTATCATTTTTTTATACCACCTTCAATGTACCATTTTATGTGTTAACTCATCATTGGTATAATGGGTCTTATCACTCATGTTAATGTTAAATGATGTGTTAAAATGTGAGGTTGTATATTGAATTTGGTATAAAAAAATGGTAAGTGTAGTATTATTCATTTCATTTCCTGTAAATTATTCTGTCACTCATTTAATATTAGTAGCATTGCTCTTTTTCCTCTCCAAATCTTCTTTTTCTCCTGCAAGTAGTAGATAAAGTCTGAAACTAATAAAATCCAAACTTTTCATGAAGCAACCAACTTCTTATTGAATGTAAGATGATGAAATGGTCATTTTGGCAATCACAAAGACACAATAAATTCTACCAAGTCATTCAAGGAATTATAGGAAGAACCACCTTCATTAACACATACCTCAACCTTTTTCTTCAAATCAGTAGCTCACTGCCTTATCTTCTCCTATTCTTTCCCTCCCATAAACCTTCTCACTACTCTCTCTATCTCCAATCCATCCCTCACTAGTTCTAGACTTCCACAGACTACTAACATACCTCACATTCACTTTCTGGTCTCTGAAACACAGTAAACTTATCATCAGAACTCCCTTTGAAACACTTTCTAGGATCGAGTTGCACCTGTAGTAGCTCCAAAATCCACCTACTCCGCTGTGAGCCAACACTTCCTTCTGAGGAGCACACTTTACAATGCACCCTCTTCCACCAACCACATTATCAAAACACTATGGCAATAGCTCAATCCAATCAGATTCAGACCTATGAATTGAACCAGGTCGAATCACCCACAAGAATGGTTGCCCACTATTAGCCAGGCCCCAAGCCATCTCGGCTAGCTTTGTCTCGTTCACGAAAGCTAAGTTTCCCAAGCTTATGTATAGAACAGAGTTTAGGGCTTGCTCGTCAAGCCAGAAAATGCAGTTGATATTTTCCTCAAGTAAGGAAGTGTTCGAGGGTGAGGAGATTTTGAACAAAGAGCCGGTTGAGAAGAATGGGATTTGATGGTAGTGTTGGAGTTCGGACAATGCTAGGTTCTCGAGGGAGTCCAAGATGTTCTAGATGATGGCAGAGGATGTTGTTTTGTTGTAGACAATGGATAAAAGTTGGAGCAGGGCTTCTACACTGTCTGATTTGGAGATGGGTAGGTCTTTGAACCTCAAGGGATGGAGTCCCGGGACTAGGTCCTGCAATTTAGAATATGGATATATGGAGTTTATGGTTAGTGAATTTTTGTCACTTTCATAATCTTAATTCTTTGCAATAATATAAGGATAATGTTTGTTTGGCTCTTTGGGGAAAGGGGGATTGGACTAATAGTGTAGGACTTACATAAAGAGTGTTTGGTTGGGGAAATGAGTAAGGGGATTAACTATCCCCTTAGATTAGTAATCCCCTCATTAGTAGGACTATCAATCCCATAAGGGGGTTGGGATTAGAAATTGAGTGGGGTAATTTGTGAATTTTTGAATAATTTTTAAGCAAAATTTATATTTTTTAGAAAAAGAAATAATTATAATATTAAAAAAATACTAAATATTAAAAAAATGTAAATTTTATATATTAATACTATTTATAGTAAGTATTACTAATTTGATGGTATACAAACAAACAATCTTTATCATACATTTCCAACCTAATACCACTACACTAATAATCTACTCATTCAATCCCATTGTACTCTTAATTTCTTCCATCGTATAGTGCCAAACAAACGTGGCCAAAGGGTATATGACTACCATATAGGGTGGAGAATTCCCCTTGTCAAAAACTATTTTCATCCAGTGGGTTTAGTGCTTACCAAATTCCACTTGTTTAATGTTCTTAGCTTTTCTTTGCGAAAAGTAAAGCTAGGCAAACAACCTACACACTTCTAGGCAAAGAGGTTTTCTTTGGTAGCCCATGCCACCACACATTCACTAAGTAATTTTACCTTTGGAGGAATTCCCAGTAAATTTTCCTCAATTTTTAATCAGTATCTTCTAGTTTCACCAGATAGCTTTCCAACCTAATACCACTACACTAATAATCTACTCATTCAATCCCACTGTACTCTTAATTTCTTCCATCCTATAGTGCCAAACAAACGTGGCCAAAGGGTATATGACTACCATATAGGGTGGAGAATTCCCCTTGTCAAAAACTATTTTCATCCAGTGGGTTTAGTGCTTACCAAATTCCACTTGTTTAATGTTCTTAGCTTTTCTTTGCGAAAAGTAAAGCTAGGCAAACAACCTACACACTTCTAGGCAAAGAGGTTTTCTTTGGTAGCCCATGCCACCACACATTCACTAAGTAATTTTACCTTTGGAGGAATTCCCAGTAAATTTTCCTCAATTTTTAATCAGTATCTTCTAGTTTCACCAGATAGCTTGAGACAAGCAAGGTAAGTGAACTAAAGAGTTTGAACAACATTCATTGACCCGTCACTTATTGTGTTTCAAATTCGGGTTGGTATGGTTTTGAATGGTGAATCATATCTTGTTTCCCTTGTCTCCCCTCTGTTTTGGTTATTGGATTGTAGTTGTGCGTTTGGAATATGTTGGTTGCTTATTTTTCCAAACTTGTGTTGCCCAGAAATTTGGTCTTCCACTAGAGCGGGCCTTCTTGCGCTTGAGCGGGGTTTGCAAACCCTTAGTACTTTGATTTTTTGCAAAATACTGGAAAAGTGTTTTTCACGCTTGAGCGGGTCAGCGCTCGAGCAGTCTGCCTGTTGTCTGCCAAAGTTCTAGATGTGTGTATTTGGCGCTCGAGCGGAACAACATTTTGTGTTTGACTCTCGAGCGTTAACTTCTCCGCTTGAGCGGACTGCACATATATCAGATCGCAAAAATCACTTTTTACATCATTTTTTCACCCTAAACCTTAGAGTTAAGAGCCTCTCTCTCTAAAACTCACATTCTCTGTACTTTTCCACCAAGATCTAGTGATCTATCCACCATCCTTCCTTTGATAAAAAGATTGAGCTCCTCATGATCTTCATTTTTATTCGATTGGAAGTTGGTTTCGGCATTGTTGGAGTTTCATCTTTGCTTTGCTTGGTCTTCTAGGTTAAGGTAGAGATTCTTTACACTTTGTTATGATTTTTAACTTAGTTATTTGTGATTGTGTAATAATGGTGGGACTTGGGAGTATTTTGAGCAAAACCTAGGGTTTGGGTGAAATGTGAAAGAGGGGTTTTTGGTGGAAATGAAATAAATGAACATGGGTTTGAAAATGAGGTCATGTTATGTCAAAGGGGTGATTTTGGGTATTTGGATTGGTATTTTGAAAAAAAAAGGGGATTTTTGTCCCAAATTGATTATCATATCTATTTTGTACAAATAATTGAAATTGGTGTTGCAAACATGGAATTGAGTGAGTATTGAAATAGATGATGGAATTGAGTATATAATGCTTCACACTCTTGGAAATTTTGGATAAGTTACCTATCTTGTGATTGTATATCTGTATTGGGCTATATATGGAGGATAACTTTTCTTGTTGTAGGAATTGCATGTGGATTAGGTGAATTGAAACTAGTCCATGGTTGACTATCTTTGAATATGATTATGTTGTGAATACATTGTATATGTATGGTTATTTGGGAGGGGAAAGGGGATGTACTTCATATGTGTGACTACGTGTTTAAATACATTGCATATGTATGATTGTTTGGGAGGAGAAAGGGGATGAACTCCATTATAATTAAGTTGACCGGAGTGTCTTGGGTGAAAGTCCCAAAATTATACATGGGTGTCGATCTCGCAGACGAAATATCTGTGAAATGGAAAATTGAAACTATACATGAGTGCCGATCCCACGGACGAAATATCTGTAAAATGACAAATTAAAACTATACATGGGTGTCGATCCCGCGGACGAAATATCCATAAAATGGCAATTGGAAATGTTTATATGTTGATTGTGAAATTGTTGAACCTTTGAGTTGAAATCTCATTTAGGTTATTGAAAAATAATGGAATTGGCTTATCCATTGAAATGAATATAAGGATAATGAAATGGAACAAGGTCTTGGTATTTTTATGACTATATAAAATGTGAATGTTTAACACTTGTCATTGTATATGCACACTGCACTTATATTTTCATTAAACCTCATATACTGTGTTAGATTGTTCATAGTGGATTGTGGCTCACCTTATGTGGAAAAAACTTTTTTCAGGTAATGATGGCATGCCTCCACTAAGATAGTAGTTTGGAGGAACTTTTGGGAGCAAGAGCTTCTTTTTTTTGATTGTGCATTTTTGTATAGCTAAGGGCTTCTTTTGTAAGAGCTAGTCTCACTTTGTTGTAACCAAGCCAAGGCTTGGAAATGTGTAAATCCAATGGGGCATTTATTTATGTTAAACCCCTCTGTATCATTAACTTCATGTAATGAAAGGACTATTTACTCTGATTTATGCTGTCATTCATATATGCTCTTGGGTTATATTAATTGTGTACTTTTGGGGGCGTTACAGCCAGGTTCTCGAGGGAGTCCAAGGTGTTCTAGATGATGGCAGAGAAAGTTGTTTTGTTGCAGACAATGGATAGAAGTTGGAGCAGGGATTCTACACTGTCGGATTTGGAGATGGATAGGTCTTTGAACCTTAAGGGATGGAGTCCCGGGACTAGGTCTTGCAATTTAGAATCTGGATATATGGAGTTTATGGTTAATGAATTTTTGTCACTTTCATAATCTTAATTTTTTGCAATAATATAAGGATAATGTTTGTTTGGCTCTTTGGGGAAAGGGGGATTGGATTACTCGTGTAGGACTCACGTAAAGAGTGTTTGGTTGGGGATATGAGTAAGATGATTAACTATCCCCTTAGATTAGTAATCCCCTCATTGGTAGGACTATCAATCCCATAGGGGGTTGGGATTAGAAATTGAGTGGAGTGATTAGTGCATTTTTGAATAATTTTTAAGCAAAATTTATATTTTTTATTGGAAAAAAAAATATTAAAAAAATACTAACTATTAAAAAAATGTAAATTTTATATATTAATACTATTTATAGTAAGTATTACTAATTCGATGGTGTACAAACAGACAATCTTTATCATACATTTCCAACCTAATACCACTATACTAATAATCTACTCATTCAATCCCATTGTACTCTTAATTTCTTCCATCCTATAGTGCCAAACAAACGTGGCCAAAGGGTATATGACTACCATATAGGGTATAGAATTCCCCTTATCAAAAACTATTTTTATCTAGTGGGTTCAGTATTTACCAAATTCCACTTGTTCAATGTTCTTAGCTTTTCTTTGCAAAAAGTGAAGCCAGGCAAACAACCTACACACTTCCACACAAAGAGGTTTTCTTTGGTAGCCCATGCCACCACACATTCATTAAGTAATTTTACCTTGGAGGAATTCCCAGTAAATTTTCCTCAATTTTTTATCAGTATCTTCTAGTTTCACCAAAAAGCTTGATGCAGGCAAGGTAAGTGAACTAAAAAGTTTGAACAATATTCATTCAATCAGATCATGGGGTAGATATCTAGCATCCTTCATCTGATCTGCTAGTATGTCAAGTAAATCACATATTTCTTCCATCTCCCAATGAAACTTGTCTTTGGCGACAAATTGATGTCTTGAATTCCTCACCTCAACCCAACTATATGCTCCTTCTTTCATCAAACCCTCTCTATCCATTTGTGCTATCCATTTGTGCCCTCACTTGTCGAGCATCTTCCCATTTGCTAGCAGCAGCATAGACGTTGGATAACATGACATGTCTTGCAGCATTTTGAGGTTCCAACTCAAACAAAGCAGCACTTGCCCTATACGCAAGTTCCAAATTGCCATGAATCCGACAAGTGCCCAAAAGTGCACCCCACATCCCAACACGATTTAATTCATTGTAATTAGGAGCTCTATCAATCAACTCAATTGCTTCCTTGAGCCTGTTTTTCCTCCCGAGTAAATCAATCAAGATTGTATAGTGATCTGATCTTGGTATTACATCGTAATCCTTTACCATTGAGTCCAAAATTTGGAGTCCTTCGTGTAACAGACCTGCGTGACTACAAGCAGAAAACGTGGCATGATTGGGTTTTATGCTTGCTTCGGTCATCCTTTTAAATGCAGCAAGCGATTCATCCCCATTTCCATCTTGAGCATATCCATTTATTAGCGAGTTCCAAGAAACAATATCCCTTTTAGGCATCCCCTCGAATAATGTCCTAGCAGATTTCATGTCTCCGCACTTGCAATACATGTCAATCAAAGCATTGAACAAAAACACATTAAACTCCTCACCATTGATACTCCTAATAATGTGTCCATGAAGTTGTTTCCCTCGATCAAGAAGTGCAAGATCGGCACAAGCACTTAGAACACTAACATAAGTGAAAGCATTAGGTAGGAAGATGCCCTCTTCTTGCATATGCACAAAAAGATCCAGAGCTTCATCACCGCGCCCATTTTGTGCAAACCCTGAAATTAAAGCACTCCAAGAAACTGTGTTTTTGGTAGGCATTTGATTAAAAACCTGATATGCATCTTCCAATCTAGATGCCCGGGCATAAGCAATAACCATGGAAGTCCACGACAGAACATCCCTTTCTCCCATCTGATTAAAAATTAAAAATGCGTTAGGAGAATCGTGACATTTCCCGTAAGCATCAATCAAAGCATTATAAATTGCAGTATTAAACTTCATTCCAATTGCCACAGCCGCTCCATGAACTCGGCGCAACAATTCTAGTGCACCCAAGCAAGCACAACTACCCACTACGCTAACGAACGTAAATTCATCCATAAACACAAAGTTGTACTATTTTTGCATTCTCCTGAAGACACTCATTGATTCCCTGTAAAACCCATGATTGCGAAGACTAGAAATCAGGCAATTATAGCTAACAAGGTTTGGTTCAGAAATTTTATCAAACAGGTTGTGAGCAATGACAAAACGACCCCTTTGAGAGTAGACTGAGATCATGGTGTTCCATGAGTGAGTGTTCTTGATTGGAAGATCATCAAAGGCTTTCTGGGCACAAGCTATGGAGTTGCATTTGGAGTACATGTGTATGAGGTGGTTGGTGAGGAAATTGTTGAGGGAGAGGGCGGTTTTGATCAGGTGTGAGTGCAGGAGTCTCCCTAGCTTGAGGTTTTGGGTTTTGATGGAGTAGGAAATGAGAGACGCGTAGTGATGGGTGGGATCAACGCTTGAGATGGTTTCAGAGCAAGGCATGATGGACGGTTTGATGTTGAGCGTTGGGTTTCGTTGGACAGTCGTGAAAATTAATTATTCAGAGGCGGCAACTCCTTGCGAGACGGCTATACTGGCAATATTAATGAACACCGAGAAGTGAGCTGAGACGGCGATTCACTTGAACTGAAATTAGTTGATAAATGGGACCATGAAGGGACAATAAGTTGTTTCTTGCGCTTCCAATGAATTTCAAGTTTCGAGGCCCATTCTTCATGTCTTTGGTCGTTCCAGTATCCAGGTTCCTCATTTTTAATGGAAAGTGTTATATATCACTGCTTGCCTTACCCAATAATGTTACAATAAACTATATTATATTATATCACATATAGTAAGCACAATATGATAAAAAATTATCATTTCATTTCATGTTTTGTGTTTAAGGGGTGATTTAATATGTTTTAAATAAGTATACTTTTTAATTTTTTATAAAAAAAATATGTAGATTTGAAATTTTCCCCCCTCCCCCCTCAAACAACGGTGCCCTCCCCCCTGAAACAACGGTAACAGGTACTGACCCCCCACTCCGACGCCGGCGACCAGTCCTTCCCTTCACTCCGACGCCGGCGACCAGTCCTTCCCTTCACTCCGACACCGACAAGCTCGTTTCCTCCCTTCACTCGCGAATCTCTCTGTCTCTCCTTCCCTTCACTTGAACTGTATGTATATCTGAGTATATATATATATGTATATATCTATTTATTATCTGTGAATTATCTATCTATTATCTGTGAAATTTCCTTTTGATTTGGGAATTGTGGCATTTTCATTTACGAATTGTGGCCTTTTCAGTTGGAGTCTTTCATTGCGTAAAACGTGTTCGATGAAATTCCCCAACGAAATGTTTAATCTAATCATTTACGTTTTTGAATTGGTTCAATTTCTCCAGTGCATAATTTCTTCATTAAATCAATTTCAGGATTCATCTTGATTATACAGAAATTTCTGTACATAATTGGTTCAATTGTTTCAATTTCTATGCACCAGAAGATGGTTTAATAGTCAATGCCCATTATATGGTTTACCTTTTAATATGCTTTAATAGTCAATGCTGAAGGTGCATAAGGTGAATGCTTTGATTATAAGCAATTGCTGAAGGTGCATAATTTCGACTAAATAAATGACACAATGAATGCTGAAGGTGCATAATTTCGACTTGTCATTTCTGTTGCTTATAATCAATTATGAAAACCAGTGGGTCCTGTAACAGATAATTCAAGCCATTAAAAATATGATTAAACAATAATAATTACAGAATTATAATAAATAATAAGTAACCAGTTATAATAAAAAGCATAATGAGTAACCAGTTATAATAAAAAGCATAATGAGTAACCAGTTATAATAAAAAGCATAATGAGTAACCAGTTATAATAAAAAGCATAATGAGTAACCAGTTATAATAAAAAGCATAATGAGTAACCAGTTATAATAAAAAGCATAATGAGTAACCAGTTATAATAAAAAGCATAATGAGTAACCAGTTATAATAAAAAGCATAATGAGCTCTAGTTTCTCTAATGCATAAGAAGTTTTCATTATTGCAGAATTCCTTTCAAAACAAGGGAGGAATAAGACAACTTATCCGATTATCTCGGATTCCGATATCTTCGGAGATAACCTCGGCCTAGCCAAGATAACCTCGGCACAACTACCACGACACGTGGCATTTCGGCTGACACGTCGGCGTCACCATGCCACGTGTTGGTACTCAGAAAATATATCTCCACAACTGCCCCCTAGGTTCTATTGCCTCGGTATCCTGAGGTGATGGAACCTATGTCGATATTTCTTTCTGCATACTGGCTCAAAAACTGTTTAGCCGAGATCATTTTTTTTAGGCCGATATGTTCTCTTCGGAGAACAAGAACTCAAACAAATTCCCTCACGCGCATGAGCTGTCATGCATTTCTTCTCAACCGTTCCCCTTACGTGTTCTATCTTCATTGGCCCGTGTCTGTGACGCGCTTGTAAGCCGTTTTTCACCTGTCTGCGCCGTCTGACGCATACTTTCCTCCAGGCGCAATAAATGCCCTGTTTTGCCGCCGTTTCAAGTTTTTTACAAAACTTTACTTTCTTTCTTCATTTCTTTACTTTTGCACTTGATTTTCTGGCTTTCTCTCTTTCTCCTAAATCCGCCATTGCTCTAACTTCAAGCTCTGCAACCGTCTTCATTCTTCCATTTCAGCGAGGGTTTCGCCATTTCGTCGTGTCTACAACCGTTGCCTTACTTCGGCGACTTTCATCCCGGCTTCATTTGTTCTGGCAAGCCTCTGTTCCTCTCATTCCCAAATTTTTTCTATGTGTTTTCGTTTACTTACTGCCATTATTGCTCTGTTCAAACCTTTGATTTTGCTGAACTATTTATCTGGATGCGTCTATTCCATGATTTTACTCATATTTTGAACATTTGCATTGTTTCAACACTTTTCTTGCCACTGTTCTTGACCTTTTACTTCTGTATTCCTCATGTTCTTGATAGCCCATCCCTATTCTCGTTTCTGAAATTTCGCCCTTGTTTTCTGTTTTTTGTGTCTTTGCCAGATCTCTGCCCTCTTTTCAATCTTTTCCCCCGTAGTTTTAGGTTTGGGATTTGTCTATAGAACCTGTTAATTTCTTAGGAAAAAACTAAAACAATCCCTACCAGTATATACATAGGGTTTTGCCGAGGTCCTGATAACCCCTTTAGAGCACCTTCTTTCTGAAACCTAGCCCTCTGATTCTAGGCCGACGTTATGGGTATGTGGAGACATAGGGTAGACACCCCGACCAAACTTGAGTACTTTAGGCGGGAGTTCTCTATTCCTGCCGATGTCCATCTGAGGCTAGCTGAAGATAATGACTCTATCATGCTCACAGATGATTCAATGCCCTTTCCTATAGTAGCTTTTACTGAGTGCGGACTCCGGCTCCCACTTAACATTCTCTTTCGTGAAATTCTTCACTTTTACAAGTTGAACCCTATACAACTTGCCATAAACTCTTATCGAGTGATCAATGGTATCATAGCTTTAGCTAGGCAGGAGAACGCTAGGATTACCCTGGCCGACATTCAGTACTGTTATACCATGTGCCCCCTTAACCTGAAGGAAAAAGGCTTCGTTTATTATCTTAAGCCGAGGTCGACAGAATACAAAATCGTAGCCGACCTCCCAGACTCCAACAAGGGGCCTGGAGATGACTACTTCATTGCCTCTGGAAATTGGGAGTTTGCCCCAGACGAGGATGTCCATCTATACACTCTTCCCCGAACAGTTAAAGAGGGCAAGGGTAAGAGCCCAGTGTCAATTACTTAGTTGTTTCTTTTTCAAGTCTTCAAAACTTTGTCTGTTTCTAATGTTTTGTTCTTCTTACAGATGTTCGCAAGCCACCAAAGGATTTTCGCCAGTCCTACTTTCCAGGCAAAGACTTAAAGAGGCTCCTAGAT